CCCCACAAAACCCATTGCAGACTTGCGACCTCGGTAAAATACTAACGTTTTTGAAAGACTCCAACTACCTCCATTTTGAGCTCAAACTTTCTGACTGATTTAAGTTCTTCTCTTCCGGCTTATCTCCTAGCTCGGGCAAAAGACCCTTCGGGCAAAGCATCCGGTGCTGAAAACCGAAACTACCCCCTCGAGCGAGTGCAAAGTGACAGCCCTGATCCAGTGAGACCCTGGGGGGAGGGTGGGGGCTGGCTCCAAGACACTGATGGACCCGATCATTACTGCCCACCCACCGGTACCTGCCAGCCTTTGCCCCACACTTTCCTTGGGTAACCCTGGAAGCTTTTTCCTGGCACTTTGGCGACGTCTTTGAGAAGCTACTTTGCTGTCTTCCTGGTGTTGGCTTTATCCGTTTCTCGTGTCACCTCCACTCGTCTCTGCCTTTGGATTTTGTCAGTGGTGCGTGGCCGAACGGGGTCCGGTTGTGACCCCCCCCCCCCGGAGTCAGGTGCTCATCGCCCTTGGGCCCTGGCTACATTTTCTTGTTTCAAGCCAAGTAAATCTGTGGTCATGTGTTACAACCACAACCTACAAACGTCTATCATTGGCCAAAATCGATTCAAGAAGAGGTAGAAAATCTGAATAGACCAGCAGCCTCAGAAGAAACAGAAACTTTCCCCTTTTTTTCTTATTTTCAAACTAAATATAGCTCCTAAAAAAAAAAAAAAGGCATCAGCCAGTCTTCTAGATGAATGCCGTCAAACCTTCAAAGAACGGATAATTCTTTCTTCTTTTTTTATTTATTTTATTTTTTATTTTTCAACGTTTATTTATTTTTGGGACAGAGAGAGACAGAGCATGAACGGGGGAGGGGCAGAGAGAAAGGGAGACACAGAATCGGAAGCAGGCTCCAGGCTCTGAGCCGTCAGCCCAGAGCCCGACGCGGGGCTCGAACCCACGGACCACGAGATCGTGACCTGGCTGAAGTCGGACGCTTAACCGACTGCGCCACCCAGGCGCCCCTCTTTCTTCTTTTTTTAAGTTTATTGACACGTGTGGCAGAGGAGAGGGGAAGAAAGAGAGGGAGGCAGAGAATCCCGAGCAGGCTCCATGCTGTCAGCGCAGAGCCCGATGCGGGGCTGGAACTCGCAAACCGTGAAATCATGACCTGAGCCCAAACCAAGAGTCGGATGCTTAACTGACTGAGCCACTCAGGCGCCCCCAAAGAACAGGTAATTCTGATGATATTCTAATAATTACAAAGCGTAAAAACAGAAAGCTTCACAATTGATTCTACGAGGTTATAAATGGTGTGATAACTAACTTGGACAAAGACAGGGAAAACATATACAAAAGAGTGCACAGATATAAAAATCCTGAATGAAACACTAGTAATAAATTCACCACCATAGACCACTGATACTATACCATAATCAAGGGGAATTTATTCCAGGAATCAGTGATGGTTACACATCAGGGAAGCTATGATGAACTTCACATTGAAATCCTCAAAGAAAAGAAAATGTGATTACTTCAGTGAACACTGGGGGGAAAAAAGCAGACAAAAGTAACTTCAATATGTGCCTTCTAAAAATCTCTTAGCGGGAGCCACAGAGGAACATAGTAATGACAATTTTCCAAACATCATCAGCAAAGTCAATACATTACTCATCTAGGGGGAATCAGACATGAATTGAAGTAGGGATATGATTGACCGGGAAGTCCCAGTATCTTAACGAGACACAATCTTTCTGAATAAATCTGCGGATATCATGGCTTGTCAGTCAAGATCCCAGCACTGTCCAAGTCAAGCATGCTTTCCCACAACCATTCTTGAAGTAATCCTTTGCTTATGTATTGACTCCAATGGCCAAATAGGACTTTCTAGTGTAAGAGAAGGCCTATGGATGAGGTCCATGTCTTGGCTGACCACCGTTTCCTTGATCAAGTTATCTAGTCTTAACGTAACTGTGTGTTGTTTTAAACTAATTATCAATTGGGGCGCCTGGGTGGCACAGTTGGTTAAGCGTCCGACTTCAGCCAGGTCACGATCTCGCCGTCCAGGAGTTCGAGCCCCGCGTCAGGCTCTGGGCTGATGGCTCGGAGCCTGGAGCCTGTTTCGGATTCTGTGTCTCCCTCTCTCTCTGCCCCTCCCCCGTTCATGCTCTGTCTCTCTCTGTCCCAAAAAAATAAATAAACGTTGAAAAAAAAATTTAAACTAATTATCAATTGACAAGATCTACTTTTCTTCCCCATTGCTTTCCTTTTTCAGAAAGGTATTTGTTTTGGGGGGCAGCTGGTTGGCTCAGTCGGTTAAGCATCTGACTCTTGATTTTGGCTCAGGTCACGATCTCACGGTTTGTGAGACAGAGCCCCACGCAGGGCTCTGGGCTGACAGTACTGAGCCTACTTGGGATTCTCTCTCTCTCCCTCTCTCTTCCCCTCCCCCCACCTCTCTCACACACAAAATAAATGAACATTAAAAAAGAAATAAAATAGGGGTGCCTGGGTGGCTCAGTTGGGTAGGCATCTGACTTCGGCTCTGGTCATGATCTCACGGTTCGTGGGTTCGAGCCCCACGTCGGGCTCTGTGCTGACCGCTCAGAGCCTGGAGCCTGCTTCGGATTCTGTGTCTCCCTCTCTCTCTCTGCCCCTCCCCCACTCACGCTCTGTCTGTCTATCTCTCTCAAAAATAAACAATAAAAAAAATTAAAATTAAACAGTTAAAAAAAAGAATGAGTGGTGTCCTTATATAAACAGGGACACAGAGGTAGACGCCCAGGGAGAATGCCAAGTGGTGGTGGAGACAGAGATTGGGATTATGTGGCCACAAAAGAAGGAATATCACGGACTGCAGGCAGCCACCAGGAGCTAGGAGAGAAGCATGGAACAGATTCCCCCTCTGAGCCCCCAAGAGGGAACCAATCCTGCTAAGTCCTTGATTGGAGACATCGTGCCTCCAGAACTATGAAAGAATGACCTTCTGTGGTTTCAAGCCATCAAGGTTGTGGTAACTTGTCACAGCAGCCATAGGGAACTCAGACAGGTGCATGCTATCCGTGTGATTTTGATAGTGACCTTGATCATCTGGTTGAGGGAGCGTTGCCAGTTTTCTCCACTTTAAAGTGACCAATCCCCCACCCCGCCCCCACTGTTGCAGACTGTGCCCTTTGGAAGGAAGTCACTGGGCACAGCCCCCTTAGGGAGTGAGAAAGGATGCTTTCCATCACAAGGAGGCTTTGTTGCTGTTGTGAAAGCGATTTCTGCCTCCAGTATATTCACATATGGTATTACCAATGTAAAGGACTGGAATTATCTGTTGAAGAACTTGTCCGTAGCAACTTTGTTAAATCCCCTTATGAATTCTATTGGCTTTCTTTCCCATTTGCTTAATTTGGATCGTGTGTAATTGTAACTGCAATTGTAATGCTTTGGCCTCTCTCTGTCTCTCTCTCTCTCTCTCTCTATATATATATATATAAATCTATACACACACACATATATATCACACTTCCGTTCCACGTCTGGTTATATTGGCCAAGGCTCCGGAATACTAGTAAAGAACGGCCGTGATTGGAGAGTCAGCGTATATCCTAGGGTTTTTGTCTATTGGGACCCTCACCTCCTCCTCCACTTTCCTGCATGTAATTCTGGTGAGACTATTACCAATCACAGAGCCCAACCCTTTGGAGACAGGCCTGAGCGCATGGTCCAGGTCTAGGCAAACATTAGACCCTCTTTTCCTTCCCCGGGATGATTTTCCCAAAAGTGGGCAAGAAACCTCCATCTGACCACTCAAGTTTTCTCTCTGGTTTTTGTCTGTTTATTTGTTTGGAGCTAGAAGAGAGAGGGCCTTATTATCTGGTTTACGGGGTGGGAAAGAAAGGGGTGAGGGTTCCCAGAGGCAGCTCTGCCCAGCACAGGAAAAGAGAGGCTGCCTATGTAGAAAAAAATGAAACCAAGGAGAGAATCAAAACCGGTGGGAAGACGAGGGAAGACGAGGAGAGATGGGGGACAGGGAGAACACTAAAGACCTTGATTTAAAATCCCTGCATCCAAACTGCCTGGCTTGGGGAGCCCCAAACTTTATGCTTTCCATTTTCTTTGCTTCAGTTGGATCGTTTCTGCAAGAGAAAGAATTTCCACTATTACAGAAATCACCCTATCCTGGTAACTAACGTCTGCGGGGCAAGGATCGTGTACCAGACTGAAGGCACGTCGTTCACCGACACAACCTCGTTTCATCCTCACCAGAACCAGCGGTGGAGAAACTATTCCGAGTTTACAGAGGAGGCAACGGAGGGTCTAGGAGGCAAGCAAGTTGCTCTGCTCTCCCGGGGACCACGCGGCAGGTGTCCCTCAAATCCTCCTTTGTGGACGAAAAGGTCCTGGTTCTCCCACTTCAGGCTGATTCAGGATAAATACCCAAGAAGCCCGGCCGAACGGGAATCGTTCTGTTTGGGAAATGTGGGCTTGTCGCTCTATTCTGGTGGATTCTAAGTTCTGTAACACAGTTGGTGGGGGGAAAGGGAGAACGTCAATTCCAAACCCAGCCTCAAAGGCGGGTGCTGGGCGCACTCCGCAGAGCGGGGGCCACCAAAGCCCAGGTGCCCGCCAGGGCGCGCCCCCAGCCCGCGCCCCTGGCTGGCCGCCAGCCCCGTCCCGGAGCGAGGACTTGAGGTCCTTCCTGGCCGCACGTTTCAGAACCTGAAACCCCCGGGGCAGGCGGAGGGCCGGGGCGAGCCCTCCGGAACGCTTTCTGGGTGTTTCCAGAGCTTTTGCAAACGCTGCCTTCCCGGCAGGAGTCGCGTCCGCAGCGGTGCAGGGGTGCAAGGGAGGCGCCCAAGGTCGCGTCCGGGCAGGGGGCGCGCACGGCGGGGCCCCGGGCTGCGGGCGGGCTCCCGGCGCGCGGCGGGAGGTCTGGGGCGGGGACTGGAGTGGGGGCGGCACTGCGCCCTCCAGGAGGCAGTCTCCAAGCTCTCCGGCCGCAGAACTCCGGGCGCATGGAGGCTATAGAGGTGTCCGAGCCGAGCGGCCAGGGGGCCACCCCCGAGCGTCGTGGGCCTCGCTGCCAGCTTCTGCCCGGCTTCCGAGAGGAGCTGCGGGCGCTCCTGATTCTGGCGGGCCCCGCGGTGAGTAAGGTAGCCTCCGTCGGAGGCTGGGCCCGGCGGGTCGGGGGCCCGGCACGCGTGTCGCCCCGGGTGACCTAGGGGGGAGGCAGGGGGTCAGAGCGAGCTGGCGGCAGACGCGCGGGCGCCCGGGGACTCGGTGCCCAGAGCCGCGCGGGCGCGCGTCCCGGTGCCTCCGCGTGCGTCCCGGGTCGCGCTCTGCACCGTCCCGGGGGCCCGACCCGCCGGGCACAGGTGGCGCAGCTGGCCCCCGCCCGGGCATGGGGAGACCCGAGGGAACCGGGACCCGCTGGCCTAAAGGCGCTCCACGGGTGCCTTCCCTGGGGGAGGATTCCAGCGAAGCAAGCCGGTTCCCGAACCGCAGAACATTCGGGGAATCTGGTTGGCTTGAAAACTAGCTGTCGAGTCGGGATTTCAGGTCGCTAAATGGTCTCGAGGCAGGGAGGAGGAAGGTGAATTGCCCGTCTCTCTTGGGTTTAGATCTCCGGACCCTTCGGGATTATTGTCACCCTCTGCACGAGGAAACCAGAGGCATCGTGTCTCACTCTCCTCCCCCGTTATTGTGTGTGTTAAAGACGTAGAAAGTTTTTAATGTGGTTCTCTGTGGGGCTGAGGTTTTTTTCTTATTCTAAGGTTAGGGCTTTTTCTGCGTTGTCTATTTAAAAGTAATGTGGGTTTTGAAAGCCACAGGAACCACAGAAAAATGTAATCCCAGCCCTGTTCTCCTGACAGTTTGGGTGGTTTTCAAGTGAACCGAGTAAGAGTCATTTCATTGGACAAGAAGAACCAGTTGGGGTTTCAAGGCGGGAATAAGCTTTTGGCCACTTGGTAGGAGTTCTGCACCTGCACCGGCTAAGGCGGTCACGTGGCACTTCCTGGCGTGGTGACATCACTGGTTGAGGGATCTCATGATACCTGCTGTGGTGTGCCTGGGGGCAAGAGTAATGCCAGGGATAAAGCCGTGGAATGAAATTCTATCTTAGCAGGAAGGTGTTTGTGAACCTCTTCTTGGAGAATGGAGAGAGAGAATGCGTGGTTTGGAATCTCTGTATCTGGGGGGCTATTCCCTGCTTTGATCTCAGAAGGCAGGTTGGGAAACAACCTCTTCTAGCTTTTGTTTATTCATCCCTAAAATAAGGATAGAAATCTGGGCTTTGGCTCAATGTGCTGTCAGACTTGCTGTGAGAAAAGGCTTCTATAAGGCTGTTATTGCTCTAATAATACAACACCACAAGGCGGCTTGCTGAGACCTAGCCTCTCCCAGGACAAGTCCTTCGTTTCTCTGGTCCCCACTGAAACCTGGTCTCCCTTGATGTAGGGGGACCTTCCGGGTCTCTAGGGATCAGCACTAGCCTGAGTTGTTGACCTGTTGGGCCCTTTGTGTTTGTTGGAACCCCTGTGTGTTTGCATGTATATGACTGTGTTAATTACCGATACAATGTATATTCCTTACAGACAAAAATAGAAAACCAGGACAAAGAAGGTAACAAAAACACTCTGAAACTTCCCCACCCAGGCAATTTGGGAATTTCCTTCCAGCCCTTTGGGTGGGGGTTTGTACTGACTGCTTTACCCAATGTATATTACTTACAGACAAAAGTAGAAAACCAGGACAAAGAAGGTAACAAAAACACTCTGAAATTTCCCCACCCAGGCAATTTGGGAATTTCCTTCCAGTCCTTTGGGTGGGGGTTTGTATGTGACTGCTTTACCCAAAGAGGTCATACAGTGCTGTCACTCATTATTTAGTCTCTTTCCACACTCAGTGTCCCATACTAAGGCTCCACCATCAATTAGGTAGGATGCCTGGTCTGAATCTCCTCTTTGTGATTTTGTCTCTCCCATTGACTGCCTCCCTTCCAGCCTGTCATATTAACATGGATCCAAGATAGTATCGAGGCCCAGGTATTAGGACTGACTTCTCTTCCACTCCAAATGAACTTCAGATGAGGCCTGTAAGGAGAGAATATGCCTAACGCAAGGGAACAAGGTGCATATCAGAAAACATGTTGGTGCATGTTCCATTTATTCTGCAGAAAACGTATTTGTGAGGGAGGGAGGCGGTGGTTGAAACTACCTAGCCTTGGGCTTTTCTACTTTGTCTTTGTCATTAGCATTTTATCTTCACTGCCAGGCTGAGTCAGAGTCCTGAAAAATAATCCCAAGGGGGGATTGCCTGCTCTCTAGGAGCATGGGCTGTGCGCAGCATTGCCGAGGGTGGAAAAGAAGGGGGGAATCGCCTGGACCCAAACTGAGCGAGTTTGTTCCCATCTGTGTGGAGAAAGGAATACTTGAGAGGGAGCTGGAGAACGTTCTAGGGCTGCAGGGCAGAACGACAGAGCAAGCCCCGCACGGTGAGTGGCGTCTGGACAGACAGGCTGGATGGCAGTCGGGAGAGACACCAGACCTGCAGGCTGATGGTTTGATTTTCATCCTATAGGCAGTGGGGAAATAATCAGCGGGCAGTACTTAGTGACGCATGTAGGATTCGGCAGGAGCAAGCTTCCAGAAGGCAGAAGACAATCTAGGCTTGGCTGATGAAGGTCTAAAAGAGTGGGAGGCATCTCAAAGGGTGATGGGCATGAGGGGAAGGGAGTGGTCCAGGACCCTCCTCCATTGTCCCCTCCCTCACCCAGGCCTAGCTGTCTCTCCGCCAGATGGACCTGCTCACCTCCCCTCCTCCGCACTCCAGGTCTGGGCCACTACCGCCTCCAGCTTGTGTCTCCCTCTTAGGTTGGCCCCACTGCTCCACTTGGAGCCACCAAACTCCTCTTCAGATGTGCTGTGTGAGCTTGTCCCCTTCCTTCTTTGGTCTCCGTGAGGCCCTCCAGTCTCTCGTTTCAGTCTCCCACTGGTCCTTCACCCAGCCTCCTTTCAGTGCCCCAGCCTTGCCTCAGACCCCACACCCTCCTGCCACTCGGCGTTTCCTCTGCCTGGAACGTTCTCCCCAGACAGACCGCCCACCTTCACCATTCAGGTTTCAGCTGAACTTCATTTCTCCCAGAACCTTCTCGGACTCCCAGGCTGTGCTCTTGGAGCTCCTGCCTCCTTTGTAGCACCAATCATGTGTCCCTGGCAGTGTTATTCCACGACGAACATCTTTCTGTGCTACGCGGCGGGTTCCATTGGTGTAGGAATGGAGCGGATGGTGTTCATGTTACTTCCGTCCGTCTCCCTAGTGCTTGGCGTGTACTTGGTGCTCCAAAGATGTTGACCCCAGTTGACCATCTGGGAGTCCGGTGACTTGCGTCCTACCTCTGTTACTAACCAGCTGTGTGACTTGGGGCTGGTGGCTCAGCCTGCCTGCCTGGATTTCCTCGGGTGTCAAAGAAGAGGCCGTAGCCAACGACCTCGGAGGCTCCTTCCAGTGCTGGCCTTTCGCTACAGGAGTAAGCTTTCAGGCATCCTTTTGGGGGGGGGGGGTAAGACCAGGGCCTTCTAGAACTGTCTCGTATGGCACACTGGACAGGCTCACACCCATTGCCTCCCTGGCATCTGGCCCTGGAGAGCACCCTTCCAAAGCGGCCACATAGCAAGAGTTCGGTTTGTCTGGCCGAAGAATGAGCAGGGCCTCCGTGGCAGGAAGAAACAGATGCCACTTGTTTTTTGCTTTTTTTTTAATTAACTAAATTAAATCAATTTTTATTTAAACCCAAGTTAATATATAGCGGGATAATGGCTTCAGGAATAAAACTTAGCGATTCATCGCTTCCACGTAACACCCGGCGTTCATCCCAACAAGTGCCCTCCTTAGTACCCATCACTGTTTAGCCACCCCCCGCCCACTAGTTTGGGCATTTCCTTTTTTTTTTCTTTTTTAATGTTTATTTAGTTTTGAGAGAGGGAGACCATGTGAGCAGGGGAGGGGCAGAGAGAGAGGGAGACACAGAATCCGAAGCGGGCTCCAGGCTCTGAGCTGTCAGCGCAGAGCCCGACGTGGGGCTCGAACTCATGAACTCCTGAACCGTGAGATCATGACCTGAGTTGAAGTCGGACGTGTAACCGACTGAGCCACCCAGGCGCCCCCAGTTTGGCCATTTCTATTGTGCATTTGACTACATGTAGCCATTGCCAGTCATGCTGTCGTGGAGACAGCAGCCCCTGAGGCACCCGGGGGAACAAACCTGTGTCCGGAATTGGTTAATTCCCCAGGCACAGCAACATGCCGTGTGATGGGACAATTTGGGAGGATCTTGTCCTTGACCAACACGTCTTGACTGGGTGTGCATGGGGTGGGCGTTGGGGTGTCGAAACGCAGATCTCACAGCCCTGCTGATGTCCGGAATCAGTCTCTTAAGCTAGGGGCCAGGTGTTAGCTTTCTGATAAATATCCCCAGGTGATCCTTTAATTTTTTAAAAATTTTTGTTGAATTTATTTATTTTGAGGGAGAGAGAGTGAGCACAGGGAAGGGGCCAAGAGAGAGACAGAGAGAGAGGATCCCAAGCAGGCTCTACTCTGTCAGCATAGAGCCCAATGCGGGGCTTGAACTAACAACCATGAGATCATGACCTGAGCCGAAATCAAGAGTTGGACCCTTAACCCACTGAGCCACCCAGGCACCCCCCTCAGGTGATCCTTTGTGTAGGGACCACAGCCATGGTCAAGAGCTCACCCAAAGGGCTTAAAACCAGGATATAAACATTATGCGGTTAACAAACATCAACCCTGGAGCCAGGATCCTCCTGGGACTGAAGGTCACAAATGGCTGCTGTGTTGGGCGACCTGAACCCCATGTTACTGCCATGACCCCAGCAAGTGTTCGGTGGGCTCAACACTGCATCTCACGTGGGTTAGCTGAACTCAGCTAGACTTCCTGGCCTTTTCATCTAAGAAACATAACTATTCCTGCTGGTGGACGGGACACTTGCCCTACAAAAATGCCCATTCCCTGCCCAACTACAAAAGGCGTTCTGTGTAGCATGATCAGTCAGAGCAGAATTGGGAAAGTGGCCCAGAGGCCTGATGATAGATGGGACTGAGCACGTTTTTACGTGAAGCCACGGGAAACAGCTCACATGTGGCCTGTGGGGGGACTGGGCACTGTGTCGTAGAAATAACGTTCCCTGGAAAAGAGGAAAACAGATTCTGTGATACAGCCATTTGCCACTGTTTACATGCACGGAGGCTGAGAAGTTAGTGACCGTGATACTGAGTTCACTAAAAAAAAAAAAAAAGGACCCCATGATCTTTAAAGTTCTATAAATTCACAGTCAAAGAGACAGCAAGGTCCCCTGGACGGAACCACAGAGAACATCTGTAAGGATGGTGACGAGGCCCAGATCCTGGCCCGTCCCACTGGCACAGGCCTACGGGGGGTACCTTGGCTCTAGGCTTGGGCTCTATAGGATTGGGTTTCTATGCCAACCTTTTTTATTTTCACCCCTGCCCCCAGCTTCTCGTTGTCCCCTGCCTGCTCTTTGGTTTTTGGCTTACTTCTGCAATACGTTTTGAAAGCATCCCTTCTGCTCCATAGCAGAAGGTCCTGTCAGATGAGAAGCTGTGTCACTTGGGGGCCCAAGAAAGATGGAACCTTGTCTGAGGTCTGAGCAGGAGGAGTCCCTTTCCCTTTGCCGATGGGACCAGCACAAGCTCCTCTGTGTCCCATCAGCTTGGAAAGGGGCCCTTGGGGCAGATCCCAGCAGCAGCTGTCAATCCTTAGGCCTCTGTTCTGTCTCCCAGAGAGTGGGGGTGAGAGCACATAAGCCTCCTGGGAAAGAAGGGCTTTCCCGAGAGGTACTCCACTGCTCTGGCGGGTGAGGGTGGGAGGTGTTTTTTAATTTTATTTTTACTTTATTTTTGAGAGAGAGAGAGAGAGAGAGTGGGGGAGCGGGAGAGACCGGGGGAGACACAGAATCCAAAGCAGGCTCCAGGCTCTGAGCTGTCAGCACAGAGCTCGACATAGGGCTCGAACTCGTGAACCGCGAGATCACGACCTGAGTGGAAATCAGAGGTTTAACCAACTGAGCCACCCAGGTGCCCTGGGAGGTGGCTTTAAATTAACCTAAGGAGAAAAAAGAAAGAAAAAAAAATTAACCTAAGGAGATAAGGTAAGTGTCCAAACATCCAGCTGCAACCTTGGGGAGCAAGTCATGGTAGTTCCTGGAATGATGGCTCATTGTTCCAGAAGCTGAATTTGCCCTCCTTTCTGAGCCTTCATAGGATATAAGAATTAAACATGCTTGGCAGATTGGGGATGTCTCTTCCCAAGATTCCAGAGCCCGCTGACCTTCCAGCAGGATAACCTCGTGTCTGCCTTAGGTGTTCCTGCCTGTGGAACTGATTGAAGGCGGCATTCTCTCCAGTCCTCACTAGGAATTTGGGAGAACAGGGGGGTTATCCCAGAAGGCAGCCTCTGACAACTTCAGAGAATGTACACGTGACGTGCGGCCTGAGACTCTGCAGTGAAAAATCAATTTAAAAAGCTAGAAAGTTTTCAGAAATGTGATTGTGGGGGCGCCTGGCTGGCTCCAAGGGTTGGACTTCCACTCAGGTCACGATCTCATGGTTCGTGAGTTCGAGCCCGCATGGGACTCTGTGCTGACAGCTCAGAACCTGGAGCCTGCTTCGGATTCTGTGCCTCTCTCTCTCTCTCTCTCTCTCTCTCTCTCTCTCTCTTTGCCCTTCCCCTGCGCTCACTCTGTCTCTCTCTCAAAAATAAACAATTAAAAAACGTTTTAAAAATGTGATTCTGGTAGCGGTCGCAGATGAACTTTTTACCATCCTTCTGGAAGCCTACCTGAAGTTGCGTGTTGGCCTGTGAAAGTTGGCAGAGGCCGATACCAGCCAGATTCCGTTACTGGCGTTGATTTGCAGAGGGTGGGGGCGCCCCGACCCCCGCCCCCGGGCCCTCACACCCTCCTTCGGCTGTGACAGTTGGGACACTCACCCGCAACTCCTTTTCTGTCTCTTCCCAGTTCTTGGCCCAGTTGATGGTGTTTCTGATCAGTTTCGTGAGCTCCGTGTTCTGTGGCCACCTGGGGAAGCTGGAACTGGACGCCGTCACCCTTGCGATTGCGGTACGTGGGGGACTTGCCAACACACGTTTCCGAAAGCCGTCTGTCTGAGTTCCCTCTTGCTGCTGTTACGAGGTGTCGCTATTTAATGGCCTAAAACAATCCAGCATATCATATTATGCTGCTGGAGGTCAGAAGTCGCCAAGGGGTTTCACTGGGCTGAAAACACAGTGTTGGTGAGGGCGGTAACCATTTTTCCGTCTGCAGCTATAATTCTTCTTTGCCACGTAACCTCATGTTTTCCGGGGGTTGGGATGGGACATCTTTGGAGGGCCCTTACTCCGCCTCCCACATCAGTAAATTTGTAATCCGTGGCGCTCTGGCCTTCTGTTCTTGGTCCCACATCTGGGAGAAGGGAATCCTAAAGCGGGGGGGGGGGGGGGGGGGGGGGGGGGGGGGGGGGGGGGGGGGGGGGGGGGGTGAAGTCTGACTTCATCAGGAGAAACTGTGACACCCCCCACCTCCGCCTTGACTTTCATCTCCCTGACACAGAAGTGGAAGATGGAATCCTGGATCCTAGTGTCCAAACCTAAAATTGGGAGGAACCCCAAATCCTCCCTGTATCCTGGATATGAGTCCCCGAAACCAAAGAGAGATGTCATTGACCTCTGCCAGGGGCTAAGTGGCTATGTCTGGCCAAACGACCCTGCCAACTTGTTTGGTTTGGCCAGCGAGGTGTCTCCAGGAAGGTGGATTTGGTGGCTTGTGTGCCCCTGTTCAGCCTCCCCAATTTCCCCTTGGTGCTCTCTGCTAAGGCACACGTCCACCTTACTTAGCCGTTGGTGTTTGCTACCTCGGAACTGGGCAAGACTACTCTGAACCGGGTCTTGGGTATATACGGGTTGTCTTGCTTTCGGGGAACAATGTGAGAAACCCCCAGGCTTAATTATCCCTTTGTGGTTTTAATGTTTGGAAATCTGGGAGGAACAAATGCACCTGGCAAGCCTCTGGCAAAATCTTTTTAGCCAAGCAAGCACAAGAAAGCCTTCCTTGGGGTGCCTGAGGGGCTTGGTTGGTTGACTGTCTGACCTAGGCTCAGGTCATGATCTCACAGTTTGTGAGTTCGAGCCCTGCCTCAGGCTTGCTTCCATCAGTACAGCTTTGGATCCTATGTTTCTCTGTCTCTCTGTCCCTCCCCTGCTCATGCTTGTGCTCACTCTCTCTCTGTCTCTCAAAAATAAGCACTTCAGAAAGAGAAGGAAAGCAAGCTGGTGCTTCTAGGCTGAGTCCAGTTTGGGGCTGTTGTCTCTGTAACCTCCCCGCAGACTCAGGTAGAGGTAACAGGTTCCAGACATCCTGTGACGCCACTCCCTGGTGTTGGGGGTGCTGCCCTGGGCTCCCCAAAGCTCCAGGGACCCTGGGGTTTAGTTGCTGACCCTGGTCAAGACAAGTACACCTGGAAGCCCTCTGGTCTTGGCTTCGGGGGCTTGATTCTGAGCCCTCAGAACCCTTTGGGATATTGTAACAGGCCGTACTTGGCCTTGAGCAGGGGGACTCACCCAGAACTGCCACCCCACCACATTACGTTGCTGTTAAGAAGGATTCACGTTCCTCTGAAGTCAGGAAGCCAAACGCCTGGGATTTAAGAAAGCAAAAGGCTTTGTCGTGACCTCTGGCTGAGACGTTCCCTCTCTCTCAACTCGTGCACGTCCTTTAATTAAAGTGGGGCCAGTGGAGGGGCTCCGGGCGGAGAATGGGGCTGAGTAGGCCGACTGGTGAGGGTTGTCGGAGGCTCGAGGCTGCCTCTGATCAGAGCAGACAGAGAATATGCCTTCCTGTCTCCTTGCGTTTCTTGGCAGATGATCAACGTCACTGGAATCTCGGTGGGCTTTGGCTTATCTTCTGCTTGTGACACCCTCATCTCCCAGGTAAACGGAAGCCCCAGGTGACTCTCACGGTGACCCTGAACATCTTCTCTGGAGCATAGCCGGAAGGTCCCCAGCGGCAGGAAGGGAGGGCCGTGCGCGCGGTGGGGAGGGACTTGCTGACGGCCTGCCCTGTGACGTCTGGCCAGCCGTCAGTTCCACTTTCCGGTGCCTGCTTTTTTTGAAGCGTGGCTGGGTGTCTCGCAGGCTTGTGCACGGCCACCTGACGTTGCCTTTTGACCACACGGGACATTTTGTACGAGTCCCTTTTATGACTTCCCGCATCGTTGAGTCTGGCACGGTCCCCGTGGGTCTCAGACTTGAGCGTCCCTCGGAGCTACCAGCGGGGCTTGCCAGAGTAGGCTGGTGGCATCCTGGTAACTGCTGAACAAGCGGGTCTGGGGTGGGGGAGGGGCAGAGGGCCACGTCTGACCTGCTCTCTGCCAAGTCCCATGGTGGTAACTATTCTCTCTATAGCTAGCTTCAGGCTCCCGTACAGATGTCACTGAACACGTCCCAGGGAGAGATGGCACAGAGTTTTTGGCTTCTGTAGGCCCGTAGGAGCTGGCTTCTGCGTGCACTGACCCTGTTTCGGCAGGTGGGGGGCAGGGCCCGAGATACTGCACGTCTAGTAGGTTGGTTTCCAGCTGATGCAACCCTGACTGGCCTTCAGAATCACACGGAGAGGGGCGCCCGGGTGGCTCAGTCGGTTAAGCATCTTTGGCTCAAGCCATGATCTTGCGGTCCCTGAGTTCAAGTCTCCCCGCGTCGGGCTCTGTGCTGACAGCTCAGGGCCTGGGGCTTCCTTCAGATTCTGTGTCTCTGTCTCTCTCTGTCCCTCCCCCGCTCGTACTCTGTTCTCTCAAAAATAAATAAACATTAAAAACAGGAAAAAAAAGAATCACATGGAGAGCTTTTAAAAGTGATTCATGTGGGGCGCTTGGGTGGCTCAGTCAGTTGAGCACCCGACGTCAGCTCAGGTCATGATCTTGCGGTTCGTGAGTTCAAACCCCACATTCGGCCCGCCACTGTGCGTGCACCACCCACTTCAGATCCTCTGTCCCCTCTCCTTGCCCCTCTCCACTGTGCTCTCTCAAAAATAAATAAACAGCAATGACTGATAACTGGGTCCCACCCTGGACCTGTTAAATCCAGACTCTTTTTTTCTTTAAAGTTGGTTTCTTTATTTGAGATAGAGCAGGAGGGGCAGAGAGAGAGAGAGAGAGAGAGAATGCCAAACAGTCCCTGCACAGTCAGCACAGAGCCCCAGCTGGGGCTCAAACTCATGAACCATGAGCCCACAACCTGAGCGGAAACGAAGAGTCAGACACTCAACCGACTGAGCCACCCAGATGCCCCTAAATGTAGACGATCTTTAGTGGGACCCTGGTGTCAGTGTTTTAAAATTTTTTTTTTTCAACGTTTATTTATTTTTGGGACAGAGAGGGAGCAAACAGAACAGGGAGGAGCAGAGAGAGGAGAAGCCAGAAATGGTGAAAAGGCTTACTTCAACTCCTGAGCCATCAGCCCAGAGCCTGCCCTCTCGAATACTGGACCCATGCGGATAACCTGTTGTTCCTGAACCGGACGGCTTAACCGACTTCATACCAAACCTCTACCTGGTGTCAGTGTTTTAAAAATGTTCTCCAGGTGGGGTGCCTGGCTGGCACCATGGAGTGTGCTACTTTCTTTTTAATAATGTTTGTTTACTTTGGGAGAGACAGAGTGCGAACGAGGGAGGGGCAGAGAGAGAGGGAGACACAGAATCTAAAGCAGGCTCCAGGCTCTGAGTTGTCAGCAGAGAGCCTGACGCAGGGCTCGAACCCATAATAAACATAGATCTGACTCTGGCTAAAGTAGGACGGACGCGCATTAACGCTGGAGTCACCCAAGTGCTCCTCTTTTTTTTTTTATTTTTTTATTTTTATTAAGTAAACACTATACCCAATGTGGGGCTTGAACTCACCACCCTGGGATTAAAAGTCGCATACTCTGGGCACCTAGATGGCTGAGTTGGTTAAGCGTCCGACTTCGGCTCAGGTCATGATCTCCTGAGTTTCTAGTTCAGAGCTCATGCGCAGGCTCTGTGCTGACAGCTCAGAGCCTGGAGCCTGCTTCAGATTCTGTGTCTCCCTCTCTTTCTGCCCCTCCCTTGCTCGTGCTGTGTCTCTCTCTGTCTCTCTCTCTCTCTCAAAAAATGAGCATTAAAAAAATTTTTTTTAAGGAAATCGAAAAAAAAAGTTCTCCAGGTGATGCAAATGGGTAGTCAAGTCTGAGAACCACTAACGTAAAGAGCGTGGCAGAGTCATGATTGAAGGCCTTTGGGGGGGGTATAGGGGTGCCGTTTCTGTACTCATGCGTTTGTTTGGACCGTGTGCACCTAGACGTATGGGAGCCAGAACTTGAAGCACGTGGGGGTCATCCTGCAGAGGGGCACCTTGGTGCTGCTTCTCTCCTGCTTCCCCTGCTGGGCACTCTTCGTCAACACCCAGAACATTCTGCATCTCTTCAGGCAGGACCCAGCCGTGTCCAGGTAAGATGGGCCCATGCCATGGGGTGGGGGTGGGGATTGGGTCCATCTTGCCAGAAAAACGGCCCTATCCAGGTTCAGCCTCTGGGAATTACAAAGGCCGGCATTATGTAGTGCTTTTCATACATGGCAAGGTCTAGACCCTTCCTTATTTGGGTGACTTCAGGGTACATCGTTTATACTGAAATAAGGTTTGCAAACATCCTCCGCTTGAGATAGGAGTTTAGGGCATTTGTTCACGGTTTTGTGATTCTTGACCCCGGTTGATACTAAAATCACCTGGGTGCCTTTAAAACCCGCCCATGCCCGGTCCCCCTCCCCCGTCGGCGATCCGTTTGAATTGGCCTGCGGTGTGGCAAGGGCATCAGTGTCTTTCAGAGTTCCCCTGAGGATTCTCATGGGCTGATGTGTTTGCCACCTGCTGGTCGAGTTAATCAAGACCTTTAAAACAAGTCCTTGTGCTAGACCCGCGGCGGTGAACCTAGGGGGCGTTTAGCCATGTTGGGAGGCATTTCCGGGGATCAGAACTGGTTACTGGGGCTCTGCAGAGACATCGCGAAACATCTTTCGATGCACAGGTTCCTTCCACGGCAGGGAATTATCTATCTGGCCGTAGTGCCGAGTTGAAAAACCCTTTCCTAGACCTAAAGATTTGGAAGGACCAAGAGAGGCAGTTTTAAGAGGACAAGGTCTAGGTGTCTCTCATTTTCGCGTTTGCTCCAGCAGTCGAAACCCGTTAATTTAGAAAGAGCCAAGAATGGGAAAGATGGTTTTTGTCAGCTTCTCCTACCCACCCTTCCCTCACAGAGACCGCTGTGGCCTTTTTTTGCTTTTCATTGTACAGGCTTACCCAGGACTATGTCATGATCTTCATTCCTGCCCTGCCTGTAAGTTTTCAAGGGTTACAAGGTCCCCTTCTTTTTTTTTTTTTTTTAAGTTTATTTT